TCATCTGATTTTTTTTTTTTTAACCCTCGGGGGTTAAGTTTATTTTATTAATTAATTTAAATATTTTAAAATTATATATTTAGCAAGCTGGGGTGGGTGCAAGTTAGTGGGGAATTTGTACTAGGCTAACTAGGCGTTAATGTTAAGAAAAAGTATTAAAATAAGCTTTAAAAAGTTTAACACATAGTCCAAATAAAAATTAACCCCTTTCCTGTCAGTCGATCACTGCCAAAAGTGATCAAAATACAGATCACAGTATTATACTGTGGACTAATTTTCTTTTTAAACCCCAAGGATTAACTTTTATTTATTTTTTAACCCTCAGGGGTTCAATTTTTTTTTTTTTTTTTAATGTTTCATTTTTATTTGAGATGTAACAGCTTAATATCACACATTAACAAACATTTAATGGTGGTCACATGGGTGTAGGTACAGTATAGAGTTTGTAAAAGATAAATAATAAACATTCACATAGGCATTCAAACCAGGGGCGACAATTGCCCCCACGCCGCCCTAAATTCTGTTAGGATCGGCCGCTGCAGGGCCGGCCCTTTAAATGCTGCAGCCGCCTGAGCGCTCTGTTAAGAATTTCTAAAATAGTCTGTCCATTTATGCACTTCATTTTTCACCCTTTCATTGATAATTACAGAATACCTTTTATAAATTAAAACGTAACTCTCCAATCCATTTTCCTCCAATTAATCACCCTGCAGCTCACCCACGTAATTTTGCTATACCTCTTTTTCAATTTCTTTTTTTCTTTTTTTTCATTATTCAGCGTTTATTGAGAATACAGCACAATACAGTATATGAAACCAAAGCCGATGCAGGGAAAAAAGAAAGGCGACACATTATACCATAGCTGTTAATTTATGGGAATGTTTCCATAGTCTGTATCGTCTCCCTCATGACAAACCAGTTGTCCTTCCAATATTCTGGCATTTTTATAGTAATTTGCTGTTAAAAGAAAAGAAATTTCAGGCCACTATACCCATGAACAAAGAGTTAATCAAGTGTATTAAATAAAACATACATAATATTTTACATTGTATAATGTGTTGGCAAACAGGAATACACTATTGTGACAGGTATATTTATCTGTAAAATTCCTGGTATCGCTGGCTAATAAACCCTATTAAGGTATAACTACACCTTATTTTATGGATGTTTGTAAAAGTACAAAGTAGCTAGAATTTTATTTATGTTGGTTTGGGCTTATATAGATTCGGTGTGCATTGCAAATCATGCATTTTCAAGATTCAAACTGCAAAGACATTGAAAGGTGCTTATGTTTGCATGTCTCCTTAAAGCGGCACTGTCATGCCGAATTCTGTTTTTTTTTTTAACCCCTCTCCCGCCTCCACTACATCCAATTGACTCACTAGTCACCCCCAAATGCCCCTAAGCCCCCAGCATTACCTATTTTTAAATCCTTATTTTCTGCCCCGATCTATATTCAGGGCGCAGCCATCTTTGTGTGGGTAGGTGAAGTCCCTGTGGGACACGTCATCAGCCCACACTAGGCAGACACTGAGATTCCCGCACATGCCCAGTGAAACACCTGGACATGCGAACGGGAATTTCAGCTATTCATTCATTCATCAGACAGACGAATGAGTGAATAGAAATATCACCCGAACAAACAAACACAATGTATCAGTGTTTGTTTGTTCGTTCAGTTTATTACAAGGAGGGAGCTACCGGCACGCAGCTCCCTCCTTGTAATATGTAACTATAGAAGTGGCAGGGAGCAGTGCTCCCCACCACTTCATAAGCCCCCCCAGGTCCCCCTCTCACTCTATGGGGGTCAATATGACCCCCATAATAGCACAAGGGAGATAAAAATCTCCCAAATGCCCCTACTCGCTATACCGCGAGTAGGGGCATGTCCACTAAACAGTGAGCAGCCTGTGGCTGCTCACTGTAAAAAAAACCACAACTATTGGCCCCCACCCCTAAACAGTGATAATGGGGGGGGGGCAGTACTCCCCCCACCCCTGGGCGGTGGGTGGGGGCCATAATGAGAATGGGGGGGGACCTACTGCCCCCCCCGGCCCCCACCCCTGGGCGGCGGATGGGGGCCATGAAGATAATGAGGGGGGGGACCTACTGCCCCCCCCCGGCCCCCACCCCTGGGCGGCGGGTGGGGGCCATAGTGAGAATGAGGGGGGGGGCAGTACTATTGGATGGCTTGAAATCCATCCAATCACAGTGCTCTGTGTCATTTTACACAGCGTGGGAAAATTCAAAAGAACTTTCCCACGCTGTGTAAAATGACACAGAGCACTGTGATTGGATGGCTTGAAATCCATCCAATCACAGTGCTATTTGTAATTTTACACAGCGTGGAAAAGTTCTTTTGAATTTTCCCACGCTGTGTAAAATGACAAAGAACACTCTGATTGGCTTAAACCCACCAATCAGAGTGTTCTTAGCCTAATTGCAGGGCGGGCAAGGCTTTATAAGCCTTCCCCCGCTCTGCGGAGTTCAGTCTGCGCGGAGCCCTCCATGGGTGAAAATGGATTATTTTTTTGCGCTCTGGTTTTTTTTTTTTCGTCTGGTTTTTACCTGATTTTATTTTATTTTCACTGGACGGTTATGATGGTTTTATTTGGCCTTTTGGGGCTGAAAAGAAGATTTGAGAAAAAGAAGACGCCGAATGGGTATCGGGGAGGACAGTAGGTCCCCCTCATTACCCTCTCATGGCCCCACCCTCACCATGCAGGGCCAAAGCAGCAGGTCCTCCCCATTTCCTCCACATTATGGTCCCCCACCCATAGGGTAAATGGGGCAGTAGGTCCCCCGCCTTTATTATACCACCCGCCCAGGGTGGGGCTAAAGGTGCAGGTCCCCCTCATTTCTCACATGGATGGCCCCCACCCGCCCAGGGTGGGGGCCGGGGCAGCAGGTCCCCCCCATTTCATTATGGCCCCACCCTCCAGGTAAATGGGGCAGTAGGTCCTCATTGGCGCCCCCACCCGCCGCCCAGGGGTGGGGGCCGGGGGGGGCAGTAGGTCCCCCCCCCTCATTCTCACTATGGCCCCCACCCGCCGCCCAGGGGTGGGGGCCGGGGGGGGGCAGTAGGTGTCCCCCCCATTCTCCTTATGGCCCCCACCCGCCGCCCAGGGGTGGGGGCCGGGGGGGAGGACAGTAGGTCCCCCCCCTCATTATCTTCTTGGCCCCCACCCGCCGCCCAGGGGCGGGGGGGGCAGTAGGTCCCCCCCCCTCATTATTGCCCCCACCCGCCGCCCAGGGGGGGGGCAGTAGGTCATTTGGTCTCCCCCCTTATTTTCCTTTAGGGCCCCCACCCGTCGTTTAGGGGTGGGGGCCAATAGTTTTTTTTACAGTGAGCAGCCACAGGCTGCTCACTGTTTACCAGAAATGCCCCTACTCGCAGTATAGCGAGTAGGGGCATATTACTTACTAATACTAAGTAATTTTTACTTGGTATTAGTAAAGTTGGCTGAAAGACCAATTTAGGTCTTTCAGCCTTTTAGTAGATAACTCCCTGATACCGTGGGAATTAGGGAGTTATCTACTAAGCGGCTGCAAGATGCAGCCACAGCAATGAATAGGATCAGAGTTTCATTCATTCGAATGAAATTCTGATCCGAATAAAGTGCCGAATTGCGTTCTAAAAGAAACGAACATACTGTTGTCATTCAGTTAGAACGCAATTCGGCAGTTTTGTGTAAAATGACAGGAAGCATTGTGGGAACACTGAGGAAAGCTGGGGATCATGGGAAAATTGCTCTGACCAGCGGAAATTAAGCACACTTTGCTCCTCCGCTGGTCAGAGCTGGTCAAGCGGAGGAATCCCCCATAAGGCAAAGAGTCCCTACTTTGTCTTATGATTTTAAAGAAAACTAAAGAAGACAGGAAGAAAAGAATAACAGATCCTGGAGAGGGGGAGAAGAGGAAGAGATTGAGGAAAGGTAAGTTCGGCATGACAGTGCCGCTTTAAGGACTGCACACATAACGAATAATGTATAAAAAGTACAAGCATTCCAACATTCTCAATTTCGGTGGGACAGTCATGGTTTTGCAGTCCTTTTCTTCAGATCCCTGGCATCCCATAACTGGGGACACTATGGAACTGTCTTTGGGCACCACACCACAAGTGCCTCATTTGACATGCTCAAGCTGTGCAGCAGACACTAGGACCATGCAGGGAGCACTTCAGTACCACTCCCCATATGGTCCTAAATACTGTGTGCCCAGTAGGTAGAATATCTGTGAGCCGCCCATTGTGGGCGTCATAAGTAACATGAGTTATGTAACTGATGATGCCCCCTCAGGGCCCTGCCTACCCTGTCCCAATTCTCCCTTCCCGATTGTCAGGAGATTTGAGAGCAGAAAGCAAAGAATTAATAAAACACTCCAGCATGCAGAAATCTTGAGTCATACTTAAAAGAAATAGCAAGTGGATAGCAAATAACTGGAGAATGAATCACAGAACAAGGCATAACAAAGTTATATGTACATTTTGTACCTAAGATTAACATTTACATACAAACCTGGAAATCTGGAATGAGTGTTAGAAGGAAACCAAACAGTCCAAATGTTGTTAGCCACTCAAACACTGCCCCTGCTAAGTGGACATTCTAGGAGAGAGCACACAAGACATGTATGGTTTTCAGTAGAATTAAATCAGGACTAATTTTCACTTTTTATTTATTTATTTGGAAGACTTTTACAGATGATAGAATTAGAATAAATGTAATTAAATCTATAAGAGTCATGAAACAGGAATATAACCTAAAGAGAAAATACACTTTTCTTGTTATCTATATAGCTTCCTATATTTTTGGAGATAATGGAGTGAATACGAGCATTTCATTATGATTTTACATAGATGAAATGCTCCAAAATTCTAATCTCCAACACTTTTCCACAGTTAAAATTCAACTTTCAAATTCAAACCAACCCATAACCCAAAAAGACAATGGCACCCCTTAGACACTCAATATAAGTCTAGATTTACTCTAACTAGGGGCTAAGCTTGGTCCTTGGCCTGATCCTGCACCTAGCCCATCTTTCTGGCCCTTTCAGGAATTCCTGCCAGGGCTTACACTCCCAAGAGATACGTTGGGCCCATCTAAAGCTGGGACCATACTTCCTCCCCACCATTGAGGACAATAAAACCCCAGAGACACATGGATCCCCAGACCAAGATAAATACAGAGATTACATGAAACACAGACTCATCAGATAACAGAGAAATATGTTGATACATAACTGCATAAATGCAAGGTGTGATTAAACTCCTCACAATTCTCACTTTAGAGGAACACTATAGGGTCATAAACACAAACATGTATTTCTGCCCCCCATGTTGCCCCTCTAAATATAGCACAATCTTACTTTTTATTTCAGTCTGCTGCTGCTGGCTCTGCCCCTGACCTGCCTGCTTGGCTTTCATCATCAGAAGTGGTGATCTGAACCAATCACAATGATTTCCCACAGGAAAGCATTGGATTGACTGAGACTGTCAAGGAGGAAGATCAAACAGAGCCCTCGCCAATCAGCATCTCCTCAGAGAATAGCATTGAATCAATGCATCTCTATGAGGAAAGTTCAGTGTCTCCATGCAGAGGGTAAAAACATTGAATGGCAATGCTGCACACTGGGCAGCACTTCCCCAGGAAGCACCTCGAGTAGCCATCTGAGGAGTGGCTGGGAAGGTGTCCCTAGGCTGTAATGTAAACACTGTATTTTCTCTGAAGGGAAATGGTTATATTCACCAGAACAGAACAAATAAGCTGTAGTTTTCTGGTGGTTATAATGTCCCTTATGTTAATAAAGAAATTTGCTTGTAATTATTTGGGATTGCATAAAGTAAAATAAAAATTGTTATGTAGATTCATAGTGAAATACTAGTAAAAGTAACCTCTACAGTTGGGTTTCCAATGTCACCTTTCACAAGCCCATATATGACGCATGAAAACACTGCAAACATGGTATCTTAAGGAAGTCAACTATGAGATTGAAATATCTATCTATCTATATATCTTTAATTACATCTTATGTAGCTGTTGTAGCCTAAATTGAACAAATTGATTATCAAGTGACCACAGTTTGCGGTTTAGTAAACAAACCAAACCATAATTAACCCCTTCACCCCCTAAGGATGCTGGACAGAAATTTTCCATCACTGCAGTCATCCCCTTAATGACCCAGGACAGAAAATGTCTGTCCAATACTAAAATTAACCTCAGATTGCCACAGTTGCGGCAGTAAAATAAACTTTTAAAAAGTTTAATTAAAGTTTTAGAATAGTAAAACAAAAGTTGTTAAAAGCTAAAAAAAAGTTTAAAAGTTAAAAAAAAAAATTTCAAAAGGGGGGAAATGCATATTACCTCTCCACTTGGTACAGTCTAGTGAAAAAATTATCCCATGCTAAAGTTTAAAATATACCTTTTGAAATACCCTTGGGTGTTTTCTTCAAGAAGTATGCATTTTTGGGGTAGTTGGAATAAGCAGCCTGCTAAAATATTTCAAAATAGAATAGGGACCCATCAAAACCATCTATGAAAATTCACACTTAAAAATCTGATATTGATCGGTCTCTTTTACAGCACTGTAACTTCACAAAATAGTGTCTATGTCATACATTGTGCATATTGTTTTACTCAGAAGAGGTAACTGAGCATACTTAGGGGGAATTAATGACAGTGTCACTTATCAAATTTCCGAAATACCCAGAAAAAATGCAACATGTATGTAAAAAAAAAAAGTGTTGTTTTTTTCTCACCACATAATTTGAAATAAATTGGCAAAAAAATTGGTGGCAATTTAATGTATAATATATGCCTAATAAGATACCCTGGAGTGTCTGCTTTGTCAAATGGAAGGTCTTTGTGGGGTGACTTGAACAGTCAAATTGCTATGATGCCACAAAATCAGATATAGGACCATATATGACAATTTCAACTATAGAAACTAAAATAGCATGGTCTCATTTATGGCATTGTAACTTCACAGAATAGTGGCAAAGGGGTATTGTTGTACTCAGCAGATGTAGCTGAACTCAATATAGGTTTCTGTACAGGAATAGCACACACCAACTTTACGAAATACACATTACAAAAACCTTGTTATATGTGTATATGCCAAAATAGAGAAAAAAAATTAATTTTACTCCAATATTTAGCAGAGATTGGCAGTGAAATTACTACGTAAAAAGTGTCAAAATAACCTTAGGTAAATAGCCTGTGATGTCTACTTTATATTAATATATACTTTTGTGTGGCAATTGTGTTTTCTGTGATGGGTATTAAACTTCCAAGACAAACATACCAACTTCTAAAATTGTTTCACATTGAAATTTTATTTTAGACCCGCAGAGATAAATGTCTATTAATATATATAGTCATGTAATGTATATTGAATATGATGTATTATATTGTTGTCCATGTATTACCTTTTATGTTTGTTTTGTTTGTGTTGTATGTCAATGTGTTATGTATTTTCTTATTCGCGGAAAAAACTATAGTGAAAAAAAATAAAAAAATATTTTAGACCTTGTAGTTTGTGACCTGTAAATCAAGTCACATAAATGAATTGATGTTGAATTACTTTTTCTAAGCTGGACATATTATGCACACGTTATTATTGCCAAAACTTGGGGGGGGGGGGAATAAATAAAAAATGTCCCCCCATTATTTTCATTTTTTTTTATTTTTTTATTAATGAGAATTTATATATGTATATGTCACATTAAAGTAAAGCCCTATTTGTCATCTAAAAAAACGGTGTATAATATGTGTTGGTACAATAAATGAGACACCTCTTAAGGACACAGCTTCAGAAGCTTGTCTTACGCTTAATGACACAAGCAATTTTTGCATTTTTTGTTGTTTGCGTTCAACTGCAATTTGCATTTTACTAATTTATTGCACTGACACATATTATATACTGTTTTTTAGACGACAAATAGGGCTTTACTTTAAAGTGACATATACATATATAAATTCTCATTTATCTAAAAAAAAAAATTGAAAATAATGGGGGGACATTTTTATTTATTTCCCCCCCAAGTTTTGGCAATATACGACTGTATAATACTTTATATGTTTCTCAGCTATGTCGTCTGAGTACAGAAATACCCCCATATGTACCTATGCCAGGTATATGTGGACATGATAGGGGCACATTTGAGACACAGCCATTCCAATTTTTTTCAAACTTTAAATTTTTACACTGTGCCCATGCCCCATTTTAGAGTATTTTACTAGGCTATATAATCCAAATACCCCATAAAGCCATACAATTTCTTAAAGAAGACATCCCAGGGTATTTCAAAAGGCATATTTGGAACCTTAGCGTGGGATCATTTTTCCGCTAGTTTGTACCAAGTGTAGTGGTAATAAGCATTTTTTCTGCTTTTTTGACACACAAAGTGAGTTTGCACAGTATATTTTGCAAACCTTATGTGTGCTACAACTGTATAATACTACATATGTTGCTCAGCTATGTCGTCTGAGTACAGCTATAACCCCGTATGTACCTTTGCCAGGTATATGTGGATGTTGAAGGGGCACATTTGAGACACAGCCATTCCGTTTTTTTTCTAACTTTGAAGTTTTACGATGTGTCCATGTTCCATTTTGGAGTAGTTTAGATGGTTGGTTATTGAAACTTCCCCACAAACACATACTATTTATTAAAGAATACACCCTGGGGTAATTCAAAAGGCGTATTTTGAACCTAAGTGTGGGATCATTTTTTCTCTAGTTTGTTCCAGGTGTAGTGGTAATGAGCATTTTTAAATGTTTTTTTTTTTACTTTTTTAAACTTTTTTTACTCTTTAAAACTAGTTTTTAAACTATTTTTTACTTATTCATTTTTGAAAACTTTCCTAAACTTTTTTTAAAACTTTTTTTTACGGGGCTGCTCGCCCGCTGACATACACAGCAGACAGATCGAAACGAGGCCCACGTTCACCCCCCCTCTGGACCGGTGGGGGTCATCACGGAGACCCGGCACAACCTGGCGAAAGCGCTACGGCGACCACGGGACCTGATCCAAGCAAAAGTACTGCGCACAAAATGGCGGAGACAATGTGCGCAAGCAGCACTCAAGGCGAGCAGACGGAGGCAGAGAATCGACTGGACAAAGCTTTTCAAGCCTTCTGGGATAAGATGGTAGCTCTTCTGTCCCCAAAAACCCCAGAGAAAGGGCCTGACACCCTGCCGCGCAATCTCACAAGCATACCAAACGGAAGACCACGCAGTAACCTCTAACATCGGACTGCACGGAAAAACTGAGCCAGCGGGAACCCACCAAGGCACAGGGGACCAGAGATCCGTCAGGCAGCAAAAGGAGCAAGAGGGCAGCTCCCTGGAACCCGAAAGTATCCATACCGAGACGCATTAGCCTACTCACCCGTCACCCTGGAGCCCCCAGATACCGGCTGAAGACACGCGATGCTACAGCGAGATCCCCCTGCTACAGATCAAACCGCAAAGGGAGACTGTGACCAAGCAGACGGCACCTGTGGGAGCGCCCCACGAGCTCCGAACCAAACACCACTCTGACCCAGCCCATGCCTGCCGGTCAGCAACAACGATGGCGGAAACACACCAGAACACAGACTCTCATCGAGGTACCAGGGGGAAACCCAAGTATACAGAGAGGCCCACCCTACCAAGCCCCTGTAGGCTGGGAAAGCCGGCAGCATCCCCCCTGGGTACGGGACTGTGCTTACACCCTGGACGGCATAGGTTAAGCAGGGCCTCAAGGCCATACCCTAACTCTATGAGGAGATATGGGATACGGCATACTGGCGGCACACAAAAGAGACGATTATTAGACTTTCTTATGCCTTTGTCTCTATATTTCTTTTTATTTTTATTTTTTTCAAGCGATGCAATCCTGGACTTTCTTAAGGGAAGCAGCAATATGTTTCATTTACTCATGTTTCCTAAGTGCCACCAGCGCATATACACCGCCCCTCACTTTAACATTACCCAGCCTCTACAAACACGTACCAAGGGTTATGACACCATAATACACTACGTATATTTAGGCTGTGTCACTTACGTATGCCAGTCTGCCCGCGGTGGACCAACACCGCCTACCACTACTAAACACTTGTCTCCGACCTCCCGGACAAATCTCTTTCATAAGCTTACAAGCTAATGTTTTACTTTATGTTTGACTATCACCACTTAAAAAATGTGTAGTAATTACAAATGCCATACTGACGTTATACATGTTACAGATACGCTTGTCCTAGCTGTAGCGGCCTCATAAATATTCAAGCTGATGTTTTACTTTATGTTTGACTATCACCACTTAAAAAATGTGTAGTAATTACAAATGCCATACTGACGTTATACATGTCACAGATACGCTTGTCCTAGCTGTAGCGGCCTCATAAATATACAAGTTGATCTTTTACTTTATGTTTGACTATCACCACTTAAAAATGTGTAGTAATTACAAATGCCATACTGACGTTATACATGTTACAGATGCGCTTGGCCTAGCTGTTGTGGCTATCCAAGCAGGTTGTAAAGCTCGCACAACAAAAATAAAGAATAAAAAAAAAAAAAATAAAAAATAGCAGTAAGCAGCACTAACGGTAAATTCCCCAATTTCCCATAACTCCCACCCACCCCAGCTAGCAAAATATATCATTTTAAAATATTAAAATTAATGAATTAAATAAATTGAGGGTTAAAAAAAGTTAACCCTAAGGGGTTAAAAAAAGTTGGATTACAGTATAATACTCTGATATGTATTTTGATCACTGTAGGTAGTGATCAACTGGCAGGGAAGGGGTTAATTTTTATTAGGACTGGGTAAAGGAGGGCGGGATTTGTTTTACTTTTTAAAAACTTTTTTTACCTTTTTAAAACTTTTTTTAACATTAACCCCTAGATAGCCTAACACTAAATTCCCCAATTCCCCACTAATTTCCACTCACCCCAGCTAGCTAAATATACCATTTCAATATTTTTAAATTAATTAATAAAAAAAAAAAATCATATCACAGTAAAATGTATACTCTGCCAATTGATCACTGTAGTCAGTGATCAATTGGCAAGGAAGGGGTTAATATTTATTTAAAATGGATGGGTAAGGGGGGTGGGATTTTACTATAACTTTATTTTATTTTTTAACAGGGAGAAGATCACCGCTGATCCGTCTCCCTGCACTTCAAACAGAACCCGGAAGTGCAGGGAGGCGGATGGTAAGTCCCTGCAGCACATGTGCTCACTCTGACAGCCTGTCAGAGCGAGCACTGCTGCAGGGGCAGCGCAATCAGGTGCTCCTGGTCTGCCTCTAATACAGAGGCAGACCGGAGCACCTTTAACTCCGCGATCGACCGCTATTGCGGCAATCTGGGGTTAATCACCTGGCATTAAGGATCTCCCCAGGATGACGGACCCCATCCGTCACCTGTCCTGAAGGGGTTAAGGGGTTGAAGACGGAGGCAATTGTACAAGTTCTAATCAAAACAAAATGTAAACAAAACCTGGAATTTGCGCTATATGTTTGTTCAACTGTAATTTACTCTTTTCATATTAAATGCACCCACACTTCTTATATATCATTTTGTTCAAGAGAAACAGGGCTTTCATATCAAATATTTTAATATGAAATATAATTTAATATGAATAGAATTGTAAAAAAAAAAATTCAAACTTGAGAAATTGTTATTTTTCAGGTTCTGCATGGCATTTTAATTTTGAATGTCATAATACTGTTAACTTTTACGGCAATAAAATACACATATTTGTATTCAGCGATTTCTAACGAGTACAACAGAACCCCCCATGAACAGGTTTTGTGGGTTTTTGGAAAGTTATAGGGTCAAACATAGCACATTACATATTTCAGTTTATACACATTGAAATTTGCCAGACTGGTTATGTTGCCTTTGAGACCGTATCATAGCCCAGGAATAATAATTACCCCCATAATGGCATACCATTTGCTAAAGAAGACAACCCAAGGTGTTGCAAATGGGGTATGTTCAGTCTTTTTTAGTAGCCACTTTGTCACAAACACTAGACAAAGTTAGCTTTCATATTGGTTTTTGTGTGAAAAATGTAAAAAACAAATATTAATGCTAACTTTGGCCAGTGGCTACTAGACAAAAAACTGGACATACCCCACTTGAAATACCTTAGGTTGTCTACTTTTGCAAATGGTATACCATCTTGGGGGTAATTCTCATTCCAGGGCTACAATATAGTCTCAAAGAAAACATTACTAATCTGGCAAATTTCAATGTGAAAAAAACTGAAATACAAGCCTTATATTATATACAAATACAAGCCTTATATTTGACTCTCTGACTTTCCAATAAAGTATAAAACCTGTACATGAGGGGGTACTGTTATACTACTGAACACATGAGGGGGTACTGAACACAAATATGAGTGTTTCAAAACAGTAAAATGTATTACAACAATAATATCATCCGTAAAAGTGTGTGTGTGAAAAATGCAAAAAACGTATCATCGTTGTAATACAATTTACTGTTTTAAAACACTAATATTTGTGTTCAGCAAAGTCTCCTGAGTAAAACAGTACCCCCCATTTACAAGTTTTATGCTGTCTTGGAAAGTTGCAGGGTTAAATATAGTGCTTGCTAATTAAATTCTCTAGACTTTCTGCCTGGGTCATAGATCTGTCCCTCAAATTTTAATTAGTAAAATCACATAATTATGTTAAAAGATTACATAAATATACACGTAGAATTTTAATATATATATACATATATATGTATTTAAATTCTATGTGAATGCCATTCTACATATTTTTTGCTACCTATATATTTTAATATCAAAATACAGTTAGAATGAAATTACATATGTATATTATTTGTTTAAATTCTTTTTTATTTAAATTATTTATTTTATTATTTTATTTATTATTGTAATTATATATATATATATATATCAGATATATATATATATATGTCATTTTATTCTAAGTGTATTTTAATACTAATATATGTCATTAAGTATGACATTTTATATATAAGATATATTGATTTTTTTTTTTTCAATTAAAGTGAGGCAAAATATATATATGGTACCAAACATGTATGTAAGTGCCCCTCCAATAAGATGGATCACTACGTATGTTTGCGCCTGGAAGACAAAATATTAAACATATAGGTTAGATTCTCATTTTATACAAGGCAAAACAAAATATATGAAAACCTGGAAAAAAGCAAATCCTCCCACCTTATACCGAAACCTCCAGAAGTCATACCTACAGAATGCATCTTTTACAAATTGAAAGGTAACTCTCCAATCCCAATTTCTCCCAATTTCTCACCCTGCAGCTCACCCAGTGCATTTTGCTATACCCTTTTTCATCCTTGTTTTTTTTTTTTTTTTAATCATTCACCATTTATTGAGAATACAGCACAATACAGTACATGAAACCAAAGCAGGGAAAAAAGAAAGGCGATATATAGCATCAGTGGTGTATCCTGGTTTTGTGCTGCCCTAGGCAGGACAAAACTCAGGCGCCCCCCTCCCCCCCGCGCCACCCCCACCCAACCCTTCCCCCCGCCCCACCTTCTAAATACACACACACACAGTCAGACACATACACAAACACACACACACACACACAGTCAGACACACAAACACACACACACAGTCAGACACATACACAAACACACACACACACAGTCAGACACATACACAGACACAGTCAGACACAAACACACACACACACAGTCAGACACACACAGTCAGACACAAACACACACACAAACACACAGACACACACAGTCACATACACACACACAGTCAGACACAAACACACACACACACACAGACACACACAGTCACACACACACACAGTCAGACACAAACACACACACACACAGACACATCAGACACATCAGACACAGACACAAACACACACACACACTCACAAACACACACAGTCAGACACAAACACACACACACATTAACTTTTTTTTAAATTTAAATCCCCCCCCAACCTCCTTACCTTTGGGAGTGCTGGGGGGGGGGTCTCTCTCCCTGGTGGTCCAGTGGCTGCAGGGCGGGCGGCGCTGGCGGGCCGGGCGGCCGGCGAGGGAGCACTTCCCATGAGCTGACTGCTCAGCTCCCTCGCGCGTCGGCTGCAGAGTGAGGCTGGGAACCGGAAGATGACGTCATCTTCCGGCTCCCAGCCTCACTTTGCGGTGCGCGAGGGAGCTGAGCAGTCAGCTCATGGGAAGTGCTCCCTCGCCGGCCGCCCGGGATGTCAGTTAGCCGCAAGGCTAACAAGGCATCTGCCCTGGGCATTTGGGGGGCGGCGTTTTTTGCCGCCCCCTGAAAAATGCCGCCCAAGGCAAATGCCTTGTTTGCCTCGCGGCTAATACGTCCCTGTATAGCATAACATAGCAATATGACAATGTGGAGTACTCATGGATTTTGTGTTGTGGAAAAAGAATCTACAAATGGAATGGATTTTAGCGTATAGAGCTTTGGGAATTTTAAATTCATTTGGGCTGGGGAGGGTGGTGGAGGGATTGACAGAGACCCTTTAAAAATCTCCAAAACATAACCAAATTTAAAATTTAACCTTCAAATTTGAATTTCAATCTACCCAAACCATAACTCAGTATTATAAAAGATGCAATCGATGAGCTAATTATGTGGCCGGCTTCAAGAATTTACAGAGTATATGCGACATACAGGTGATTAGTCCGAGGGAATCCAGCCTAACTGAGAATATTTCCCTAGCTTGACTCATTATTTTCCTGTGCTCCCCAGCCATATCCATCCCAATTACATCACTCCCCTGTCACATAACATCCCCAGAATATTTTATATCCTACATCCACTGAGCTGGAGGCAGCAGCATCAATAAAGATGACAATACTTTTAACCTGTTAAACAATATACTCCGTATTATAATAGATACAATCAATGAGCTAATTATGTGGCTGGCTTCAAGAATTTGCAGAGTATGTGTGGAATACAGGTGGTTAGTCCCAGGTTTGGGGATCCAGACCAATCTTTTATGCTGTTCATTCTTACTCTGCTAAATAGTTCCTCCAGGAGTTATCGCAACAACCTGATATCTCAGAACTATTACTCTTGCAGTTTCTTCAATAGTACATCACAGTAATCATCCAAACACTGAGTGTACTCGCAAAAAACTCCTACAACTTAATTCTTAAGCTAGGTACTCTGGGTACTTGTGGAAATATTATTTTCTGTCCCCACGAAGGACCACTCAATGTCCAATTGAGATATGCAAGTGATAACTCATTTTGTATAACCTGTAGGACTGAATTCCTCCA